CAAGTCTCTGACCTCTCCAGCTAACCCTTGTCTCCATCTGGCGCCCAGCAAGATTTCAAAGTCTTCTAAGGCATTTTGCCCTGTCTTAATTTCAGTGTGAAAGCTATGCTACCATAAGACTCAGTGCCCTTTTCACTCTCAAGCTCACTTCCCTTTTTTATTTTCTCACAACTCTCCCACCTTTAATATGGTAGTAGTACTAAGGACTGATAATTAAGTGTGTACTTTGTCCCATGTATATGAGAGGCATTCACTTAGCTGGTTGCTCACAACTCTAATCCTTTGCACTATTCCTGAAAGGTAGATATATTAATTTTAGAGATAAACATTCTCAGATTGTTTAAATAAGTACAATTTGTACTGTATCATGCCACATTTTAGCATATGTAGGTCCTTAATAATTCTTCATATTTTATTTATGTCAGCTTTTTGTTTTAGAAGCATACTTTATAACTAATAAAAAATTCACCATACTTTAACACATATCAATTTATTTTATTTTTTCTGATATACTCTTCTACTCTGTTTATATTCACACATATTTTAAAAAGTATGATCACAATATGTATCTAGTCCTCATTCTAAATATACTGATTAGGCATTTTCTTTGTTATTGTCTCTCATGTTGTCATTTTAATGACTGCATATTGTTCATCAAATTTGTTTATCATACTTATAGTTTTAAGAAAACTGTGGTACCGAAAAACATTTAGATTATTTCCATTTGTGTTGAGGTATAGTATAATGATTATACTGTATTTATGTACATTTTAAAGATAAATGTTAATCTGTTGGCTTTTAAAAACTAATTATGGAAATATTGAAATGTTCAGAAGATACTAGAAGAGACTCACATGTAGCTATAATTCAGTTTTAACAATAATCAACATTTTGTATATCTTGTGTCACCTCCCATTTTTCTTGAGAATATTAGAGAAAATTTCAAGTACTATGCCCTTTCACTTGTAAATACTTTAGAATAGACTTATAATAGATAAGGATTTTTTTCTCCCAAAGTCATTGAAAACTCTATGACCCTCATCTAAGGTCCATGCTGAAATTTAACTGATTATCACAGGTGTGAATTTTCACATTCATTTTGTGCAAATTAAGATCTGAATATGGTTCAAACATTGCAATTCATTGTTATGTCATTAAAGTTTCATTCTAAAGACTACACATGCACACACACGCACACACACACACTTCACTAACATCAATTTGTTGGAAAAAACAGGTTCTATACATTGTCCCAGCATTCTGAGTGTGATTGATTTTTTAAGGTATCATTTAACATATTTCTTTATCTACTGTATTCATTTTAATTGGTGGTTAGATATGAAGGACTTAATACAATTGTGGCTCAATCTTTAAGGAAGAATATTAGGTAAGGATGGTATGTTTCAATTTGGGATCAAATTTAGCCTTTTCTCTCAGAACGTTTTACAAGATCATAAGCCTTTCTTTTTCTCCTAGAGAGCCTCTTACATACGCGGCTTCTTTACATGTTCGTTAGCCCATTTGTATTGATGCCTCTAACTGGATTTGTGCTGACACCACCTTCTGCTATTGAATACCACCCTATGTTATAACACTAACAAGTTTCCTTTTAGCCCCTTCAACTTTGGTACAAAACTGGGAATTGCCAGACATGGTGGTGGAGGCCTGTAATCCCAGCACTTAGGGGACTGAGGCAGGAGAATTGCTGCAAGTTCAAGGCCAGCCTGGGATACATAATGAGTTCAAGACCACCCCAGACTACATGGTGAGATCCTGCCTCAAAAACAAACAAACAAGCAAACAAAATAAAACTAGGAATTACTGGAATACTTTGTCTTGAAAATTATTGAAAACTCAAGAAAAACCTGAATTTGAAAGGAAGAATTGAGGAAAAATGCTTCACTTAGACATTGGGTGTTTTGGTTTACAGGTTGTTTCCAGTGTTTACAGATTATGGCTGAAACACACACCTGTATTTTGCCCCTATACCCTAATTTTAGGTAGTTTAAATGAAGTTTCTCTTTTTGGAGTATAAATATGGAAGGCCATTTTTAAAGCACTAAGGCCTAGTGAGTCTGGTACCATCAAAATGGTTCCCTGGGCACAATGAGGAAGCAGGGGGATAGGGCACTTATCATCTCCCTATAACACATTCCTCCATGTATTTTATGTGGTGTTTGAGGCATCTCTTCATGGCCATAAATACCATGTGTCCCACCAAACAGACCAAAGGCATGTCTGTTATGTGAAACTCCCAGAATTATCCGGAAATTAAGAGAGGTAGAGCAATTTCCATTTCTCTCTGGTTCCCAGAAAGTATAAAACATGACTTTCCTTTTAGATCACTGGGCAAAGTTGGATCTTCTATGTCCTGGTTTGCCTGACTATTCCAACCCATAGACTCTTCACATTATGTTGGTAAAGTCCTAGAGTCAATAGGCAAGAAGACAGAAGGTCCCACAGCAGTTTTCTCTACCAACTTTACAACTGGAAGTGCTAAATTCAGTTTCCATTATATTTCTCAAATATATGCCAGAGACAGTTCTAGATTGTGTTAGTAAGAACATGGACTGAAGTGGTGCATGAGGACAGCTTCAGAGAGAAGAGAGCTGTGAAGTGCTGTAACGGGTTAACCTTTCAGGTCTAATTTCAAGTATCAAATTTTCTCTTTTATTTCATTAGACAGGCTCTGTAATAGAGACTTTGAATTTTGACTTTGAGCTGTAGGATTATAGACTGTCTTCATTCTTTTAACTTCTGGCTGCTCATTTGTTTTATCTATTACCAGGGTATGGCATAGGCAACATCACTGGAAGATCAGTTAGAGAAAATGAGCACTCGGAAATGGAAAAGTCTCAACATTCAATTGTCTAGTTCTATGTTTGTGATTAAAATTATTTTTGATCCCTTGATCTTGGCCCAATTTAAGTTTGACTGTTAACCATTTTTCTTTATTTCTCTTAAGAAAGGGTTTTGCCATGTATTAGCTGTTACTGAGAATCCTTGTTACTGTTTTATTTTTTCCCAGTTGTCCCCATGCATGCCTCTTTGAACATAGCAAGCAGTTCTTTTTCTTTTTTAAAAAATGTATAAATATTTAAACTCACACTCTGTAGCATTGTTTCTTTTGCTATCTGGTTCTTACTGTTCTTTTGATGGTTCTATAATGTGGGTAGACTTAGTAGAGGTAATGTGTAGGAAGGAGTAGTGTGGGTACAAGTAATGCATGTGATGCAGTATTGGCAAACTATGATAAATGAGAGGAGAGAACAGCATCGTCTTTTTGTTTTGAACAATAAGAAAAATGAAATTGAAAGGAGGATGGTCTTTTAGTTCTGAGTTTATGCAAAGAACTACAGTAGTTTTAAAAATTCCTATAAATGTTCTTGGTCTGTATCTTTTAGGTGTAGAAAAACCTAGGCTAGAAAGAATAGCATATTAGACTAGCCATATTCTTTAATAAATTTCCTTGTGCAGGAACTGAAGATCCTGAGCTTTTTCTAGATCAAATGACTTAATTGCTAAGTCTAGCTAAGTTTTTCCCCTTATCTCCGTTTTGTTAAATTTAGTCAACATTGCGTAGAAATGACAAACATCTGCCGGAGGAACTATTAAACTAATTTCCATTTGCATTTTGAAAACTTTCTTTCATGGTTTATTTTTAATTTTGTTACAAATCTTAGTTTGTTTTTCAGCATTGTAACTTAATATAATTATTGCATAAATACTAAAATATTGAAATGTTAAGGGCCTATAATGGGAAGCTATCTGTTCTAAAATGCCAGGGGGGTAGCTCCATTATATGCTTTAGCTGAATTTTCATCAGCGTCTATTATGTATTATACATATGTGCATATACATATTATATATATATATGCTCATCAATCAGGGAGGATGAAAATTATTCAAAGACAAATGAAAAAGGTAATTATTTCCAAGGTCAGTCACCAACCTGTTGCCCCTCAGACTTTCTAGGTAGAAAATATGAATAAGTTGGTTCCTAAAATTGAGACTCTGTCTCTGACTTGAGACTTAGTATAAACAGCTCTTTGCTGGAACACCAAATTGTCCCTTCTACTCTTCTTTATCCTTATCCAGATTTTATCTTTTCCTTTCAGGGGTTTCTATGTATTCAATCTTTATCTTCTGGCACGCATCCATTCTACCTTTGGAAGAACCTCTGTGTAGTCCATGTGCACATTTTTGTCTTTGTCTTACCATGTTAAACTGTTGTATTCTACACCTTCCTGTGAATGTGTACAATTTGTAAGCTGGGTCATTGGTATGGTCTCCCTAGCAATGTTCAATCCACAGTCATTTCTTTCTGTTGCCTAGGCTGGTTTGGCTTTTAAGTAAATAAGAGTAAATTTCTGTATGTATGGATGAGGTTAAAATATAAAAGCTTGACTATCAGACATGAATCAAATGTGCTGTTCAGACTAATCAATTATTTGAATATATCTGGAACTGCATGAATTAATCTTAATCATGTCTATTCTTTGAAAAAATCAACAGTTAAAAAATTGCATATCTCATTATTAAAAATGATTTTGTAGTTGAGATATAATCTCCTAAATGAAGGAATAAAAATAAGAGCAGGATGAGCCAGCTAGCCATTTGTCTTCCTAAACACTTGAAATAAATGAAGATAAAAAAATGCTAGACATTGTTAAATAAATCAGGGGTCTTATGACATTTCTAATATATTATGAACAAAATTTTGATTTGATTTATCTATTTAAAATAACTAGCAAGGAATTGTCTAAGTGCTAAAACATAAATTACAAATGTGAAACCTTGATTTATGTTAATGGTGAATAATATGTGGGAAGTGGCAAGTGATCACAGATTTTGCAATATTCTGTAAGTGAGGGGGATGGAGTCATGGAAAAGTATGGAAAAAAGTGCTGCCTTGGGCCCCATTTCTTGATATATAGATGATGGCTGTCTTCTATGAAATGATATAATCTTGATGATGTGACCTTTCACTTCTATGCCAGACATCTCCAAATTTTAGTGAAATCTGCTCGACACTTCTGAATGCCTCTACGTCTCCATGATGGATCAGAAATATGCATATCTCTACAAGGATAGCATGGAAGAAAAGAACTGTCTCTAGGTAAATACTGCCTCTCTCTATTAAATGTAACTGCCTCAAACAATCTTTCTTTACTCTCCTTATCTAGTGGGTTCCCTTCTCACCCAGTGTCCTGTTTATTTCATGCACTTTGTACTCTTTATAATTCATTTTTAGTGTTCACTTGACATATTGTTTGTCTCTACAACTAATGTCTTGTGCATAGGTACAGAATCTATTTTATTAATTACAGTACCAGTGCACTTTCTGCCACATGGTTAACACTCAGAAAAATTTCTAGATACCAGAATAAATTGTAAGATTGCATTTGGAAAAAAAGCCACTCTTTAGTTTTTAAATTTTTATTAGTACATGTTTGCAGTACATAGTGAGTACATTTGTTTTAGGGTGTTTGTACATGTATATAACACATCTAATTCTTTTAATCCCCCTCTCTCTCCCCCTTCCTTGTCTCTCCATCTCTGGATCATCTTTCCGTTTGAGAAAGATCTATCTCCTTACTTCCTATTATCTGTCTTTTATTTTACTCTTTATTTATATTATGTATTTCTTTAATTTTAAACACTGTAAAAAGCACTTTAAAATAGCATTTAAAATATGAATGTGGTCAAAAGCCTAACAGATATCCTTACAGATGTTGGGTTGCATTTTCTTTCAAATCAACTTCTACACTTGATCTTAGCCAAAAGCCCGAGAAGCGATGCAAATCAACTTCTTATATGTGATTAAATAGGCACTTGTGTTCTGAGTTGGGAACTCACAACAGCTGCCTCCTTTTGTTTGCAGGGGCACACAGGTGGCTGCTCTGTGGACATGTGCCATCCGAACACGTGAGTAGTGTGGCTCCCAGTGCACTCACTGCCTCCCCTCATTCATCCCCACTCAAGAAATCCTGCTGGGATGTAAGCGAGTGCTTGGCTTTACCAGAATCACTTTGAATCTATTTTAATTTATACCAAAAGGCAAAAGAGAAACCAATTATGAATTTTAGTGTTTTTTCTTTTCTTTTTTCAATAGTAATGAAATACTTGTCATTTACTTCACAGCCGGTCAAGACAACTAAGTATGCCTTGATGTGAGATTTTTTTGAACTGATGTTTGAAAATTTGATTTCAAACCTCTGGGAAGAATTTTGTTGTTTGTGTAACTTTGAAGGAAGAAGTAAATGGTCATAGTCGAGAATGCAAAATGGCAATACTATGGGAGAGGACCTCATGGAAATACTAATTGCAGTGAAGCCTACATTGATACTTGTTAGGTATTGCCTCAGAAGCTCTCTCTTGACTGACATAAAATGCTTATTATATAAGCTGATCCTTATGAAGGGCAAATACTAGATATCTTTGGCCTAAAACTTCAATTGCATGTTGTTCGAATGAATTAATTTGTTAATACTTTCTATCATTCATCTAAAATGCACATGGAAATTATGTATAAGCTCTTGAAGAAAGGACAAAAGGAACATAATAATGAGCCTTTTGATGTTTCTGTTAGTGTCTTCTTTTTCAAGACAAGTCAACCAATCAGTGATCTTGTCAATCTTGCTTGCATATCCTTAGCCTAGTATTGGGTTATATGCTATTTGGAAAATATCAGAGAAGCCTAGAAGAGCTTTAGAGCATAACAAGTTAAAAGCTAGGTGTATGAATAAGATACAGCTAGGAAATAAAATAGCTTAAGTGTGTTAAGTTATTGCAACCCTAACAAATAATGAAGAATAGTGTTTCTTCTACTGTGATTCCTACTGTGGCTTGCCATGTGTGCATTTTAAAAATATTTCAAAAAATAATTTTATATTTATAAAATTGCAGTGATAGAATAAAGTTCCTATATACTTTTCACTCAGCCTCCCCTAAAATTAACATCTTACATAGTGATAGTATATTAAAACTAAGATATTAACATTGGTATATTACTATTGATTAAACTACAGACTTTATTCAGATTTTACAAGTTTTTCCACTTATGTGTCTTTTTTCTGTTCTAGCATCTAATCTGGGATACCATATTATGTTTAGCATATATAATGGATAAGATATAAAAGTAAGAGGGAAAACGTTTTACCTATACTCATCTATCACTGCCTTTAATGTTTAGGAATATGGTGGCCTAGCATGCATGAGATCCTGGGTACAATCCCCAGTAACCCCCCCCCACCACACATACACACACACACACACACGCACATATTCACATATACCACACATTTTAGGATCAGACTGCTTAATTATTTTTGTACCCTATTTTTTATTATTTAGCAAATCACAGATATTATCCTATGTGTTTGAAAATACTTTTTTAGTGTTTGAAAATACTTTTATTGTATGCACAATTTTATCATGTAGATATATATACTTTTGCTTAACATTATCAGATTATTTAATGGTTGATTTGATTTTTTTCTTTTACAAAGGACACTGGTGATTTTCAGTGCACATGAATTTTGGACAAATTTCATATTTCTATAATTAGATCACAAGGAAGAATATATAGGTAAAGATCTATGGATTTCTTCCTTTCATTTTATTTTCAATTCAAGAGTAACACACCAAACTATACTGAAATCTCTAAAATAGAATATGAAAATCTCCTGCTCTGGAGACTCACTTTCCTGAAGAAAAGAACATTTTGTGAGGTCTTTTTAACTTGAACCCGTGCTACCAAAATAGTTTGTGTTGTATCCACGTGAAGATGCAGCTTTGAATGTAAGCTTTGCATTAGTGTTCAATGTCCAGGATGGCATTGCGGCCCCATTATCTTTTGATTTGTAACCAGGCGGCATTGCTTGGGCATTTCCTATGACTGACATTGACCATTTTTATTTTCAGGATTGTGCTACTCCTTTGTCACTCAAGACTAAGAGCCATTACTAGGTAACAGACATCAATACGCTCTCCAGAATAGATAGTTCATTCTTTCTCAGAACCCATTCCTTTAGGGCCATGCCTTTGAGGTACAGTCAGTAGATAGTCTTGTTAGCCATGAGACAGAACCAAGAAAACATCTTGGAATGACAGACTCCCAAATCCACAAGCCACAGTGACTGGACATTGGGAACTCATTGATATAAGGGCTTACTACTACCAACAAACAGAATGTGGATAATGGAGAAGTGTGGCTTCCAGAGTTAGACAGCTCTGGGCTTAAATCCTAGATCCAGTATCTACCAGGAAAATTTTGACTTTAAGCAAGTAACTGAACCCTTGAGCCTAAGCTTTCTCAACCATACATATGGGACTGCTATACGGGCTTTAATGTCATTTGAATAAAATGTGATAATGTCTGGTACAGTGCCTGTCACATAATGCACCACTAGATAAAAGTTTATTCATTGTAAGCATGGATGAATGACCCATCTACCTGATTAAAAAATGGTGGATTTTTTTGTTTTTGTTTTTTCAAGTAGGGATATGGCCATTTGTGATAAAAAGCTTGATAAATAATAATGAAATGAATTAAATGTAAATTTCATTTTTTCCTCCAGGTTCCAGACAACATAAGCTAATTCTGGCTAGAATTTATTGATGAAGACTCAGATCTTGAAATCTGAATTTAAAACAACCAGCTTTTGGATGAGCCAGACCAAGGACCCCCAGGGACCTTAGAAGCAGAAGATAATGGACCTTTTCTATAGAACATTGGACTCTTTGTTTCTCACCTTTAGTGGCCTGATGTCAAATGGGTCATCTTAGTCAAGAAGGCAGGCAGGACCATGTATTACAAGCCTAATTGCTGGGGATTTTTCTGTATCTGAAGCAATTATAGGCAAAGGGAATGTTTAGAAGTAATAAAATTTTAAGACTTTAAGGGTGAATGACAGATAAACTACACATATTTAAAGTATATAATTTGGTATATTTTGACATGTGTGTATACACACCAGGAAACTATCACCATAATGAAGAAAATGAAGATATCCATATCTCTGCTGGTTTCCTTTCGTCCTTTTTTCTTTCTTCTCTCTCAGTCCTGTGTCCCTCTTCCTGTACCCAGGCATCAGCTGACCTGCTTCTGTCATTGTGGATTAGTTTGCACTTTCTAGAATTTTACTTAAATGGGATCATAAGTTCTTTTCTGACTTTTTTCATTCAGTGTAATTATTTTGAGACTTATCCATGCTGTAGTATTTATCAGTACCTTATTGCTTTTTATGGGTGATTAATGTTCCATTGGCTGGCTATACTATAGTTTATTCATTAAGCTGTTGATGACATTAGGGTTCTAGTTTGAGGCTATTACTGATAAAGTTGGTATGAATATTTACATGCAAGTGTTTTCTTTTAGACATTTGTTTTCATTTCTCTTGAGTAAAACCTAGGAGTAGAATGGCCTGGTAATCCTGTAGGTGGGTGTTTTACTTTTTCATCAACTGCCAAGAAGTTTTTCAAAGTGGTTGTATAATTTTCTATTCCTACTGGCAACATGTGAGAGTTCTGGTTCTCTATCATCACTAGCACTTGGTTATATCCAGGACTTACTTTTTTTTTATTAAGTTTATTGGTACATTTTAGGTATACAATACAGTTACTTTCACCATTGGTATCTTGTACCTTTACATGATATATATTGGTTCTTATTTTTTCCCCCTTCTCCTGCCATCCCTTCAACCCCTCCACCCTTCCCTATTTACAAAGACTTTGTTTCCATTTTTTCATTTTCTCATAATTTTTCCTTTCCCTTCTTTCCTTTCCCCTACCCCTCCCACTTTCCCTTCCTCCTTTGAACCTTTTCTTCCTATTTCACGTTATCAATCATACATTTTGATCCTTATTTATACTTTTAGTTTCTCACACCAGAGAAACTATTTGGTATTTACATATGCATGCCCTGTTTATTTCACTTAAGAGTTGCATATCGAGGCCATACTTTAAGTGAAATAAATGGGACACATGTGTAAATAGCGAATAGTTTCTGTAGTGTGAGAAACTGATAGTGTAAATAAGAGTTAAAATGATTAAAATGAATAATTGATAATTTGAAATAGGAAGAAAGGTCCAAAGACGAAGGAGTGAAGGGAGGGGAAGGGGAAAAGAAAAGAGGGAAAGGAAAAACTATGAGAAAAGAAAAAAAAATGGAAATGAAATCTATGTAAATAGGGAAGGGCGGAACGGGTGAAGGGCGCACTAGTAATGGGGAAAAAAAATAAGAACCAAGATACATCATGTACAGATACAAACACCCAATGATAAATGTAAAAGAATTGTATACCTAAAATGTAAACGAATTGTATACCTAAAATGTACCAATAAAAGAACTAAAAAAAAGAGTATGTCCTCAATGTACATCCATTTAGCTATTAGCTATAAATGACTCTAGTTTCTCATTCTTTATGGCTGAGTAGTACTCCATTTTATAAAAAAAAACCCACATCTTTATCCAGTTTCCAGTTGATGGGCGATTGGGCTGTTTCCAAGCTTTAGCCATTACACACTGTGCTGCTATGAACATGGCTGTGCACATATCACTGTGGTATGATTCTTTTAATTCTTTTGGGAAGGTACCCAGCAAAGGAATAGCTGGGTCAAATGAGACCTCTAATCCTAGCTTTTTTTTTTTTTTTTGGTACCAGGGATCGAACTCAGGACCTTGCGCTTGCAAAGCAGGCAGCAGTACCTCTGAGCTAAATCCCTGGCCCTAATCCTAATTTTTTGAGGTATCTCCATACTGATTTCCACAGTGGTTGCACCAGTCTGCACTCCCACCAACAATGGAGAAGGGTTCTTTTCTCCCCACAATCGGGGATTGAACTCAGGACCTTGTGCTTTTGAGGCAGGCGGTGGAACCACTGAGCTAAATCCCCGGTCCTATTGGTTGATTTCTTTAGAGCAGCCATTTTTTCTGGGCTGAGGTGGAATCTCCAGAATTTACTTTTAAAACTCTCAAAACTCAATACTAAGAGGAACAACAATCTAATTTTTAAAATATGGGTAAAATTAGAGCAATTTGCCAAAGAGGATACACCAATGGCAAATAAGCATACTTAACATCTGTAGCCACAAGATAAATGGAAATTAAAACCACAATGATGTGTTTATTCAAATGGCTAAAATTAAAAGAGAACTAATACTTTTACATCATTATAATGCCATTTTATGGATGAGAAATGTAAGGTGTAGAGAGGTAAGTAACTTGACCAAAGTAGAATTTAAGTTTGAACCTAGGTCTGCTACTTCTACTGTCACTCTACTTATCCTCTACTCTGTACAAACAACAGTTATTTGGAGGAGGCTTCAAAAGCCCAAGTTGGAAATGTGGGAATTCACTTATTATTTAGGAACACAATTTTCATTTTCTCTCCTGATGGGATAGGCTACCACATGTCACCGTGGATATTATGGAAGTTCCTGCAAGTTCTTGCATCCATTTTGCCTAAAGGGTAAAATTTATGCTTTTTCTAACATGCAGCTTTGTCTAGATACCTCCTGAGGAAAGCATTCAGTGTGGAATGTAAAACCCACAAAGCATTGTTGGTCCAACTAAGATAAAGCTCTGTTAAACCATGATGATTAAGAGTAGGAGGTGTTTTTTTCTTTCTGAGATCTGACAGATACACCATTGAATCACACTGTACCTTTTCTTAACAATGTGATCCTTATCAAGTTGCTAAATATTATGAGCTCTGATTTCCTCATCTCTAAACTGAAAATAATATTAACCTCACAGTGTCTTGAATTTGAAGGAGTTTACCAAGCCTTGCACTCATTAAAGTCTCAAAACACTGATGTTACTGTGTCATCACCAATAATATATAACCACAGTAAGAATAGATGTGTGAAGCATTGCATTTCATTACAAAGCTTAAAATGCGAATTTATCATTAGGTGGTATTTGGCATCCCTCTGGGGGACTTGCTGCCTCTTTTAAGAAGTGGTAATCCGTCTGGGTGTGGTGTCACATGCTTGTAATCCCTGCACTTGGGAGGCAATCAGGAGGATTGCAGTGAGTTCAAGGCCAGCCTGGGCTACATAGTGAGTGGGGGAAAAAAAAAAGTGGTAATGCAAGGGCAGATGATAGCATATAATTCTATAAGAATTATTAAGAAGTGAAGTATCCCTTAGGTAAGAATGTTAGAAATATTCTTTGGCGGGAATATCTATAGTTGCGGTTGAGCCACATCAGCTGAGTATCCAGATGGAGTTTTAGAGTTCAGTGATTAGATATGCAGGAATCACATAGTGTAAAGAAATCAAAGTAAATGTAATAAAGAGCTCTGTGGAGCACTGTTACTCATGCTAAGATAACTAAATCCCAGCTGCAGTTTTGTGGGACTTACAAACCTTATCAGGCATTCACACTTGTTATCCTTCCTTCATCTGCTTACTCTAATGCCACCAGCTCTTTTTCCAGACCCCTGGAAGTGCTACTTCAGCAACCAATGCTGTGTTTTTCTCTGTCCTATTAGTTTTTTTTGAAACATGATTGATGTATTCAGGGACTGAAGCTTCCTCCGAGCACTTGGATGTAAGATTCTGAGGAGAGACAGGCCAGCTTTGCTACTGGGTGCCTCTAGCAACTTTTGCTCAGGTGGTCCAGTGATGAGTTCGCCCTGCAGAGAAAGCCTAAAGTTCTACTGGTGGGCATCAGCGCAGTTATGCACACTTTGCAGAAGATGCACTGAGAACAGATTCATTTTCACACTGGCAAGGCTGTGCCTCATTTTCAGAGCAGTTGAATCAGGTGGTCTGTACCTTTCAGCTATAGATACATAAGGTGGTGGTTCAGTGGTCTCCAGTGATGCCAGTTTAAGTGGAACGTTAAACCGGGCTATGGCAAGCAATCAGGACTCCCTACATCTTGTTTTTTGAGCCTAAATTTTGAAACATGTTTTTCTATGTGTCACTTGAACTTATATATGTTGCAGCACAAAATAATTATTGATGTATTACAATTTAACCTAAACACAAATGGCCCGGCCCGCGGGTAAGTCAACGGAGACCCTAGAGGGGGAGCGAGGATGAGAGGGGACAGGGGACACGAGAGATGGAGACAAGACAGGTT